AGAGCTGACTTTTCCCTGCTGAGAACGCAAAGCTCCAACGAATGCTGTACTCTTCGCAAATTTTGACCATAACTTGTGAAGATTGGCGATCAGTTGCGATTATTGAAATATCGTCAGCTTGAACAGGCGTGCTAGCGTTAAGGTCATGTATAAAAGCACCTTGTTGACAAGACTCTAATTTGTCAATGAGGTCGTTGATAAAAATTAGGTACAGTTTTGCTGAAAGTATACTTGCTTGCCTAACACCACGATGCAATTTGAACCAATTTGACAACTTTCCACCAGAGAATACCGCACTCGTGAGATCAGAATACATATTATCAAGTAGACACCATAATTTTGCCGAAATGCCATATTCGTACAATTTGATGCGCAAACCGTCGTGTGGGACAGTGTCAAACGCCTTTGTACTGTCTAATAGAACGATTTTGACGGGTCCACCTTTTTCAATGTGATGAAATGTAACTTCTTGTAAATTGTATGATGCATTCATGCTACTTAATTGTTTTTGTTAAGCAACTTGCTGGTGATTCGGAAAATCAGGTCTCAATTTTGTTAGTTCGTTCTCAAGCAGTTTTTCAAATATTTTAGCGATACTTGGCACTAGAGATATCCCACGGTATGAGTTAGTATCAGTGCGAGGTTTATTTCCACCTTTAATAAGAAGGAAAATACTGCTTTTTCGCCACTCACCAGGTATATATCCGCATTGTATTATCATGTTGAACAAGTGATGTAAATGTTTCAAGAGTAGTTTTCCTCCGTATGTGATGTGCTCGTATGCGATACGATCATGGCCACACGCTTTGTTGTTTTTCAAATGCGAACAAATGTTAATGACATCAGTGTAACTGAATTGTACATCATCCTCCTCGTTGAGTGTTCTATTTATTTCACGAATGGTTGATACGCGGTCTGACATGTAGGTTTCACGGTCTAGTTCACTGTACACTGATTGCGAAAAAACATTTTGAAAATGGTCATACCATATACTCATTAGATCGTTACTATCAGTAAATAAAGTACCATCCTTCTTTAAAGCTGTACAGGTGTGTGGCTTCTGTACAGGTGTGTGGCTTCTGTTTTCGCTTATTAAGAATGATCCATACGGATTTTTGGTCAACGTCAATGTCATTTTCAATTTTCTGCGCAATCGCACTTTCGTATTCCTAAATAAGGATCTTTGAGCGTCACGAAAAGCCCTTTTCGCCTGCTTGTAATGATAAAACGCATCACATTTTATATCATGGCAGTTACAGTTGTAGAGGGAAATCATTTGTTGATGTACAAATAACAAAACCAATCAGCTGAAAAATTCATCTAAAAGAATGAGGAGATGATATCAAAGGGCTTTCAACAGTTATAAGACATAGAACGACAGACAAAACCAAGGTCATCTAGAACGACAGACAAAACCAAGGTCATCTAGAACGACAGACAAAACCAAGGTCATCTATAGGTAGAGAAACCTCATTATATGGAACAGTTTTTTGGGAGATTCTTAAGTTTAACAGGTGACCATGCTTTTTTTTCTTTTTACTAGATTTTTTTTTACTAGAAACTAGTTTTTGATATGGTGGATGAAAACCCTTCTGAAAATAACTGACACATTTGCATCCTAATTGATAGCTGAATATAAAATGACCAAAAATAGTATTTATAATGATTGAAGTCCCCAAATATTTGCATAATTACCCATCACTCCGTGTCAAATTGCAACTTATGCTACGTGTTTGTTTATACGCTGATTACAGCGCCACCAAGAATTTTTTTAGATTACGTCCCCTTTCCCGCGTGACCACCGGATGGAACTCTTAAATGTAACTGGCTTTCCGACTGTACGTTTGCTCTACTTGGAAGGCCCGCTACGAATGATTCCGACATAATTTTGTATATAACTTAATGTAGATTTACGATATAAAATAGACAACCGCATAATCGAAATATAACGTTACGGAAGTTCCCGATCGGTGGCATTTCTAAAAAAATACGAGTTAATTTGACCCTGGGCTTAAAGCAAACAACAATCAACAATCAAGAGACAGTTACAGTAGAAACATTTGTTATATTTCATTGATAATATTCTTGATTCTCAAAAGTCATGAACTTATTTTGGCATTATTTAAAATTAAAATAAACAGTCATATTTTCAACTACTACGATTAAGACATTAAGTGCCGAAATGCGCAACTGGTGCAGTAAAATATGCACTGTTAATGTATTTAAATATTTTTTAGAACATAAGATGGACTACAACGTACGTTATCTGTCTAATCGTGTCTTTATTGGAGGCTGGATTTTGCTACATTTAGCATGGTACGTGTGGTGTGCAGTTGAATGTGACGACGAAAATATATGTCAGTGTAATGCAGGAACAGGCGGAAATCTAATTGTTGACTGTTCTCGAAAGGATCTGTTGAAAATGCCAAAAGGCATGCCAATTTCGGCATATGACTTGTGAGTATATATGATATTTTATTTTAAATATAGCAAATTTCTTTCGAATTTGTGCAGCAGAGTCTGCTTGCCCATCTGTAGCACTTAAGATCACTCCCGGTTTTTGTTGGGGTTCGTGTTGCTCGGTCTTTAGTTTTCTATGTTGTGTTTTGTATACTGTTGTTTGTCTTTTTGGTCTTTCCTTTTTATCATGGCGTTGTCAGTTGATTTTCGACTTATGAGGTTGGATGTCCATTTCGTATCTTTTGCCTCTCTTTTGTTACAGGAATTAAATACAAAATTAAGAACTCAACATTTAAGAGGACTAACAAGTAAATGATAAAACACCTGTTCGCATACATTATTACTAATAATTTTTTTTAATTCTTTTTAATTTTTTTTAATTAATTCATTTTTGTTTTGAAAACAGAGATAGCGTGAAATTACTCTGGCCTGCAGCTTATTTGCAGAAAACTGCAGTATTAAATAATTTCTATCTTCCTCAAGAGCAGAAATTTCATTTTGTAAGGACTTGTAAGTCATGATAAAAGAGTAATAAGGTTCACCAGTCCACCAGGATAGCTGCAAGGCATTTGTTTTGCTCTAGGGATAATTTCAAATCTTTAATCACTCTTAATAAAGTTGACTGACATCCAAAGCCTGGTCTTTAAGTTGCCAAATTTGGATTGAAGATATTGTCCAAGTACTGTACTAATTGAACTTCAATGGCATTTGAAAAAATTGACACTTACTAGTCTATGATATCCTTTTACTAGTACACTATTCTTTTTATAAATAGATGCATTTGATGTATGCGTTTCTTAACAAAATTTTTATCAATAGGGGAAAAGGTAAAACTTTTTTGGTAAAGAAAGGGTTAATATCCCTCTCAAATGGTAAAGAAAGGGTTAATATCCCTCTCAAATGGTAAAGAAAGGGTTAATATCCCTCTCAAATGGTAAAAGAAAGGGTTAATATCCCTCTTAAATGGTCAAGAAAGGGTTAATATCCCTTTTAAATGGCAAACATATCAAGGTGCTCATCATTAACCTTTTTTGTTTTTTTCCCTATATTCTTGACAACATTTACAAAATAAATATGTTTTGTTCGTCCGTACAACTGTCTCGTTAATTTTGATTGATCCTGTTTGTCCGCATACCCATATATGATAACTCATTTCTTTAGTTTATATTGTTTTTCTTTACAGCTGTCTTGTTGCTTTTTTGTTCGTTATTACAACTGTCTCGTTAATTTTGATTGATCTTGTTTGTCCGTATACCCACATATGATAACTCATTTCTTTAGTTTATATTGTTTTTCTTTACAGCTGTCTTGTTGCTTTTTTGTTCGTCATTACAACTGTCTCGTTAATTTTGATTGATCTTGTTTGTCCGTATACCCACATATGATAACTCATTTCTTTAGTTTATATTGTTTTTCTTTACAACTGTCTTGTTGCTTTTTTGTTCGTCATTACAACTGTCTCGTTAATTTTGATTGATCCTGTTTGTCCGTATACCCACATATGATAACTCATTTCTTTAGTTTATATTGTTTTTCTTTACAGCTGTCTTGTTGCTTTTTTGTTCGTCATTACAACTGTCTCGTTAATTTTGATTGATCTTGTTTGTCCGTACACCCACATATGATAACTCATTTCTTTAGTTTATATTGTTTTTCTTTACAACTGTCTTGTTGCTTTTTTGTTCGTCATTACAACTGTCTCGTTCATTTTGATTGATCCTGTTTGTCCGTATACCCACATATATTCATTTCTTTAGTTATATTGTTTTTTTCTTTACAACTTGTTGCTTTTTTGTTCGCCCGTACAACTATCTCGTTAATTTTGATTGATCTTGTTTGTCCGTACACCCACATATGATAACTCATTTCTTTAGTTTATATTGTTTTTCTTTACAACTGTCTTGTTGCTTTTTTGTTCGTCATTACAACTGTCTCGTTCATTTTGATTGATCCTGTTTGTCCGTATACCCACATATATTCATTTCTTTAGTTATATTGTTTTTTTCTTTACAACTTGTTGCTTTTTTGTTCGTCCGTACAACTATCTCGTTAATTTTGATTGATCTTGTTTGTCCGTACACCCACATATGATAACTCATTTCTTTAGTTTATATTGTTTTTCTTTACAACTGTCTTGTTGCTTTTTTGTTCGTCATTACAACTGTCTCGTTCATTTTGATTGATCCTGTTTGTCCGTATACCCACATATATTCATTTCTTTAGTTATATTGTTTTTTTCTTTACAACTTGTTGCTTTTTTGTTCGTCCGTACAACTATCTCGTTAATTTTGATTGATCTTGTTTGTCCGTACACCCACATACAACTCGTTTCTTTAATTAATCTTTTATGTCTGTATACCTGTATTGTTCCTGTTGATTTATCTTGTTTCTCCTACACCTTCTTGTTGCTTTTAGTTGATATCCATGATATCGTCGTGAAGAATCATCTGGAATTCGCCCTTGAATTGCTTCTTTCATCGTTGCTGGTTTGGTTTCTATCCATAGTTATATATATTATGTTTCTATTTATAGGAGACTTGAAAAGAACGATATTTCAAAGATTCCACATGGTTACTTTGACAACCTAACAGAATTAACCTATCTGTAAGTTGTCATTAATAGTCATCATTTGTTTTAAGAAATCAAATACACCAGGATTATAGATTGGGACCTCGGATGCGCGTTCCGTCTTTATAAGACACTAGTGGCGGATCCAGGGGTGGGGGGGTTCCGATGGTTTGAACCCCCCTTTTTTTGGACGATCAATGATTGAATGGGGACATATAGTTGGAACCCCCCCTTTTATCCTGGGTTGGGAACCCCCTTTTAAAAATAGCTGGATCCGCCCCTGGACTCGTCAGTGGCGGTCGAATCAAAACAGAACATTGGAAAGCTAATTTATTAAAAAAAAAGTTTAACAGCTGTGTAAACCAAAAGTCTTGTAAAATTGTTCAAAATACGGCTGAAATTAAATAAGATGGTTGCTGTTCAGCTATGGTCTTAAACATAGTAATCACCTATTGTTGGTAGAAATAGTAATTTTTAATATCTACACATGGTTGAAACAGATAGTAGTCGTCAATATCGACATATGATTAACATTAATATTCCCCCTTTTGGTAAAAGAGTACGGCTACCGGTTGACTATCAGTCCTCCAAGGTAGACAGTTATTGGTTTGATTTGAATAATATATTGCGTCTGATACATTCCAAGTTCATTAATGGATACAACTGTCGTATCTGTCTAAGGCAAATTTATCCGTAAACGGTTTTTTTTTTCTTTGTGTTTATTTTGTTTAAATAACTTTGTCTGTTATGCTCTGAAAAACCGGGTTTTGATTTTTTTTACATTTTTAATGTCGAGCCTTGTAAAGATTGCTGTTCAATAATGGCTTTGCTCATTGTTGAAGGCCGTACGGTGACATATAATCGTAACATCTACGTTATTTAGTTTCTGGTGGGAAATTGATTCATTGGCAATCATACCACATCTCCTTATCTTTATATATTTAGTGGTGAGCTGGAGAAATATGGGATTTTTGTAAATAAGAAGGAGCAGCTAAAACTTTTGTAAAAATCTAATACCCCCATCACACTAGGACCACGATCCCGCTACGACCTGAGAAATTATGAAAAATTTTGGAAATCGTAGTAAGATCGTGGTGGTCGTGGTAAGATCGTAGTAAGGACGTGCCAAGTCATCATGATCGTGGAGGTCCACGACCAACTTTGAACATGCTCAAAACATTCGTAGTGCAGTCGTGGCCAAAACTAGTCGTAGTAGAAGCGTAGGAAGGTCGTAGTAAGGACGTAGTAAGATCGGGATGGTCGTAGAAGCATCGTAATCGGTGAAGCCAATGGGAAATATTTTGTTGTGCGACCTTACCACGATTTCACTGCGATTATCACAATTTCACTACGTCTTCATTACGCTTCTACTACGAGATTGATACGATTATACTACGACGAGGAAGACAATAATACGAGCTGCTACTACGTGCGTGTCGTCCTCAGTACGACCTCACTACGATTCTACTACGTCTTAGCCACGACAATTGCACGACCTCATTCAGTTGATACCTCTACTTTTAGTATCACGACCTCTCAGTGTTTTGATACTTTTAAATGGCATGCTTTCTCAAGGAAACTGGTGTGTACTATGGGAAAGTCAAGATATTTATAGGGACAAAGAGCGTAGTGACAACGTAGTGGAGTCGTGGTTCGATCGTAGTAGACTCGTATTGAGATCGTAATGCGATCGGGAAGGTCTTAGTTGAAGCGTACAGAGATCGTGTAAGTCGTTGTAAGGTCTTATAAGACGTAACTATAACGTGTTACTGTCGTAGCAGGATCTTATCAGGATCGTAGCAAGGTCGTGGTATGAACGTGAAAACTATGAAATACTGAATATTCAAGCCGACCATACCACGATCTCACTGCGATCTTATTTTTTTTTATAGATCGTAGTGGGATCTTCATGGTCTTGGTCTAGTGTGATGGGGGCTTAAAGAAATGACAGCTCAATTTTCTGTGAGCGAGAGGTACGAAAATAAAGATTTTACTATCTCGCGGTTTTAAGCAATATCTTACGCAACTTTCATACAGTAGATATAATGAAATTGAACAAATTTTAATATAATGTCATAAATATGGGCATCGTTGAAATTTATTTTCTGTCATACACACAAGTAGACATATCTATATTTTAACAGGCAAATAAACAACAACAAAATAGCTGTGCTACCTGAGGGACTTTTTGACAACGCAGTCAACCTAGTAGAAGTGTAAGTAAGCTCAACTTTTATCTTATGGAGTGTTCCATTGCGGCAAAAAATAAAAACTTCAATAAAAATAATGCAAGTTTACTAAACATTGACGATGATATAGTAAAACAATAGTGAGGGTTCCGTGATACCATTTGTCTCCCCTGCGCTGGCTGCTGTCAGTGTAAAGTTTCAGGATTTTAGAAAAGAAAACGGCATTTTTGCTGTATATTTATTTAATTAAAAAAAAATTCATCGGTGACTTTTTTTCAAAATTGGAACAAACAATCTTCATACGTAATCAAACCTAATGTCATTTTAAAAAAGAGGGGCCCATGAAATCGTTTTCAAGATAAATCAGTAAGAGCATACGATACAGTTACAGGGGAGGTACTGACGTTGCTAACGAAACGTAAAACTGTGACATATCGGGACAAGATGCATTTTTCGACTGATTTTAATCGTTAGCTTAAAACAAGTAAATGGACCCCTCTTTTTTTTAATGGCATTTGACTTGATACTGTATGAAGATTATTTATTCCAATTTTAGCATGTTAGCGAGCGCTTAACTCTACCCCTTGCAGTACAACATAATAAAAAACCGAAAAAAATAATTGAAAAAAAGGCTTGACTCAAATCCTAATCCTGAAAACTGTTCTCTGTGAGCATGTCTGCTGAATGTGTTAATCTTAATCAATCAAGTTTCAATTTCATGTTAAAGAATACACTCAGTTAAGATATGCCATTTATCTGTGATTTATTTGGTTTTGTTATCTTTAGAAACTAATGAGATTTGAATGTGATAAACTGATGTTTTACTGTACATAACTTAGTTTAGACTGGAGTAAAATTATCATTATGCCGTGGTTTTTGTTTGTTCTCAGATTCATGATGTCAGTGAAAATATTTTTTTAACAGAAACTTCAACTACAACCTCCTTACAGAAATACCAGATGGACTGTTCAGTAACATGCCAAAGTTGAACTGGTTGTAAGTCATAATTTACATTTCACGTTCATACTGGTTTTAAGGTTTGTCATGCACTGTAATTTTTCATTCCAAATGCACACAAACTCATTATACCTAAATTACATTTCAGTTACTTCAAGAAACATATGCGTACTAGATTTGCCTTAAGAATAAGGAATGGCAAATCCACTGAAAGCATTTTTAGCGAGGACATGGAAGCATTGAATGACTGGGAATTTATGTTTATCTATAGGCCTCTTTTCTTCTGAAAAATAATATGAGATTTCAGATATAAAAAGATGAGATAGAACCTCATGACACGAAAAAAAAAAGACAATAATCAAAATTATAAGCGGGTCACGTTTTTCGCTCGTGTATCGTCTGTATGATTTTTGTCTTTTTTCTCTCCCTAACACTTTCCTTTAGTATTGTTTGTCACTTTGTTACAAACATTAAATTTAATTTAAATTCATGTTTATTTCCGTTTTAAAAGAGCTTCTATCTGTATAATTTGTTTGTCATATAAATGATTCTCTGTTTTAAATATACCGAGATTTATAGATATAGGAAAACGTATTGGTTCTTCCTCCAAAATGAAAACCAAAATTCAGAAATTATTACGAGCATTTACTATTTCGATTTCAGGAAATATGCATACAGATATATGTATCCGATATCAAAATGCGAGTTTTTATTATTGCGATATTTATCCCGTCGCATTTTTCGCATTAATAAAAAACCTCGCAATAATTTCTGTATTTACATAATTATATCTCTGATATCTTGAAGAAGAGAATCCATTTGACTGTATGCCTATAGTTGATTATCTTTTGTTTTACTCTATTTAATTTTGTTTTATCTCAGAAATCTTCATGTGAACTCTTTGGTTGTTGGTCCGTTATTTGATTAACATTTATAATAACTTTCTTTGTCATTTTTATCTCAGATTTGTTGAAGGGAATCCATTAGACTGTGGTTGTCCAGTAGAGAATTTCCGAACATGGTTATTATCTCTAGATCAATCCATCACCTTTGATGCTTTTTGTGAGAATGGAGATAAAGTAGTGGATTTACCAGGGGCTTCGTTCGATGTCTGTGTTGGTAAGGGGTTATTTTTTATTCTAAGCCGGGGGAAGCTAGCATTTTTTTGGAAAAATGATTTCTTACCCAAAAACGAATTGAAAATAATATTCATTCCGAACTTAAAAAAATCTCTATTGAATTAGCAACAAATAAAAAATAATATTTTGTCTGCTGAACATTTTCAATTTCATAACCTTTCTTCCTCAAAATCAAACGGAAGCTCCCTACTTTTTACTTGATACCTTATATCATTATCTTTGAAGTTTGCACGATTTTACATCAAAATTGATTCGAATAAAAACGATAAAACGATGGCAAATCTGTCAAAAAGTTATGCATTTAAATCAACTTTGGTTACTCCTCTAAAATAAGGAGATGTGGTTAGATTGCTAATGAGAGACAGCCACAAATGACAATCATAGAATAACAGGCTCCTAACTTTGACAGACACATTTGTAAAGTTTGGCGAGGTTAAACAACCTTTTAGCGCTCTAACTTCCACCTAAACTGGTACAGTTATGTAGCATCACATTAAAAGAACAAATGAAAAATAAAATCAGTTGGGAATCGCTTGACTCATCAGACAGGCACGAAACATAAAAACAACAAACGTACAGACAAAAGCAACACAGTAGCGATCTAAGATACTCGCAGATAATGAAAGCTAGTTTAAGCTCGCAGACCATCGTCCTGAACATGCATGAAATATTGCCATTGGACGATGAGCAACCAGCAATTAATAAATCTCGTTGGTTTAAGTATTTTAAAGCAGTTAACGTCGAAATACGCATCTGGTCCAGTAAAATTTGTACTGTTAATGTTATTTCATCCTACGGATTTAGTGTAAAATGTCATAAATATGTTGACTAAGCTGTTAATTTTCTCCTTGATAATATTTATGTACGTTTCGGCAACAAAGTTTATCGACAGGTTGTAGGTATTCCTATGGGCACTAATTGCGCCCCTTTAATAGCAGACTTGTTCTTGTACTGTTATGAATCACAGTTTATGACCAAACTCAGTAAAGACCCGTCTAAATTGCATTTAATTGATAAATTTTTTCGTTAAATAATCAAGAATTTTCTAAATATACTGCCGAAATTTACTCAAAGGAACTTACTTTAAATAATTCAAATATAAACGGTAATAACTGTCCTTTCCTATATTTAGATATTTCAGTTTTACACGGGAAACTCAACACTAAAATTTACGACAAAAGGGACATTTTTCGTTCCCTATTGTTAATTTTCCTTTTTTCGATGGTGATGTTCCTTTGGAACCATCTAACGGTGTTTATATATCACAACTCGTTCGCTATGCCCGTGTCTGTTGTAACGTTTCGGATTTTAATGAACGTAATCTATGTATTACTGGTAAATTATAAAGTCAGGGATTTCGTTACCACAAATTATTTAAAACCTTTACTAAATTCTTCCATAGATATAAAGATTTGGTTTTGAAGTATGGTTGTACCTGAAGAAAACTTATTTCAAACGGGATAGCACATCCTCATCTTTACGGAGATGTTGTTTACCGTGCCCAGAAATTTAGAAACGATCCTGGTAAACTTATCGATCCTTTAAATAAACTTATTCTAAAAGGTTACCAGTTCAACACTGTAATTAGATCTTTGAATATCGTTTTTATTGGTATTAAAATTGATTTTGTCATCAGTAAATTAAAAGCAAACTAATATTATTGTTATATACATATGCATATTCATGGCTCTACAATCTGTCGATACCTGTATCTTGGCATTGCACATGGTGATGTTTTTTCTGACTGTTTGTGACTTCTTTACACTAAATCCTTTGGATGTTGGATGTGTACTGATTGATAATTAGGTCTTAGATGCATGATTTTTTTATTAGTTGATATTGGCTTTGAACTAGCTGTCAGTAACTGCGAGTACTCTCAGATCTGTACTTAGTGTATTTTTGTTGTTGGGGTGTACAAGTACCTAGCCACGTCCACTCTATGTTTTTGTTAGATGTTTTTCTATATGTATCCATCTGATGAGTTATGCCTTTTTCAACTGATTTTTATAGTTTGTTCTTATGTTGTACTGTTACACCACTGTCCCAGGTTATGAGGAGGGTTGGGCGCCCGCTAACATGTTTAACCCCGCCACATTTTGTATGTGCCTGTCCCAAGTCAGGGGCCTGTAATTCAGTGGTTGTCGTATGTTGCTGTGCTACATATTTGTTTTTCGTTCATTATTTTGTACATAAATTAGGCCGTTAGTTTTCTCGTTTGAATTGTTTTACAATTGTCATTTCAGGGCCTTTTATAGCTGACTATGCGGTATGGGCTTTGCTCATTGGTGAAGGCCGTACTGTGACCTATAGTTGTTAATTTCTGTGTCGTTTGGTCTCTTGTGGGCAGTTGTTTCATTGGCAATCATACCACATCTTCTTTTTTTTATATAACTTCCGTACACGTAGTAATGATAAATTACATATTTATACTTATAAAAAAATCAATATGATGAAAAAAAAATATTAATAAATAAATATAATAATAATAAATAAAACAGTGTAAACCTTACAAAAAGAGAGAAAAGATACAAACACGACAATCAAAATATGTCAAACAGAAAAAGACAACAGCACGATCAATTTTGTTTCCTAACATTCCAATGCTGTGTAAAATAAAGGAGATTTTGCGAAGGAAAGAAAATCAAAAGGAAAAAATTGTTATGTTTCTTCGGGGACTAACAAAGACTTTCAACATAAACGCATGGTATGTATTGATTTCATTTGGCATCATACAAAAGAGATACCATTTGTGCATGGTATATCCTAATTTGTAGGGCACCGTACATGTTTCGTCCGGCAGAAACGAAATTAAAGTGTGGAACGCATTCAAAATGTATTCAAGAATGAGACATTTGGAGTTTTGTCGTGATACATTTTCCAGTATTTACATCAATTTATATATATGAATAAAGTTGTATTCTTTAAAAATAAAAAGATATGTGATATTTTTCCACTGACATTTTTAAACAGTGACTACGACTTCTACAACAACTACTACAACGACAACAACGACGACACTCCCTCCGACGACAACAACTACAACTTCCACTACAACTACAACACCAATACCCACAACAGAAGGTAAGACAATAGGAGGTACTATTACAACAACAACAATACCAACAACAGAAGGTAAGACAATAGGAGGTACTATTACAACAAAAACACTAATACCCACAACAGAAGGTAAGACAATAGGAGGAACTGTTACAACAACACAAATACCCACAACAGAAGGTAAGACAATAGGAGGTACTATTACAACAACAACACCAATACCCACAACAGAAGGTAAGACAATAGGAGGTACTATTACAACAACAACACCAATACCAACAACATAAGGTGAAACAATAAGATGTACTGTAACAACAACAACACCAATACCAACAACAGAAGGTAAGACAATAGGAGGTACTATTACAACAACAATACGTATACCCACAACAGAAGGTAAGACAATAGGAGGTACTATTACAACAACACCGATACCCTAAACAGTAGGTCAAACAATAGGAGGTACTATAACAACAACACCAATACTCACAACAGAAGGTAAGACAATAGGAGGTTGTTTCAACAACAACACTAATACCCACAACAGAAGGTAAAACAATAGGAGGTACTGTTACAACAAAACCAATACCCACAACAGAAGGTAAGACAATAGGAGGTACTGTTACAACAACAACACGAATACCAACAACAGGAGGTAAAACAATAGGAGGTACTGTTACAACAACAACACGAATACCTACAACAGAAGGTAAGACAATAAGAGGTACTGTTATAACAACAACACTCATACCTAAAACAGAAGGTAAGACAATAAGAGGTACTGTTACTACAACAACACCAATACCCACAACAAAAGGTAAGAAAATAGGAGGTACTGTTACAACAACAACACTAATACCCACAACAAAAGGTAAGACAATGGGAGGTACTGTAACAAAAACAACACCAATAACCACAACAGATGGTAAGACAATAGGAGGTACTATTACAACAACAACACCAATACCCACAACAGAAGGTAAGACAATAGGAGGTACTATTACAACAACAACACCAATACCCTCAACAGAAGGTTAGACAATAGGAGGTACTGTTACAACAACAACACTGATACCCACAACAAAAGATAAGACAATAGGAGGTACTATTACAACAAAAATACTAATACCCACAACAAAAGGTAAGACAATAGGAGGTTCTGTTACAACAAGCCCAATACCCACAACAGAAGGTAAGACCATAGGAGGTACTATTACAACAACAATACGTATACCCACAACAGAAGGCAAGACAATAGGAGGTACTATTACAACAACACCGATACCCACAACAGAAGGCAAGACAATAGGAGGTTGTTTCAACAACAACACCAATACCAACAACAGAAGGTAAGACAATAGGAGGTACTATTACAACAACAACACCAATACCCACAACAGAAGGTAAGACAATAAGAGGTACGGGTGCGGGAATTTCTCGCTGCATTGAAGACCTGTTGGTGACCTTCTGCTGTTGTCTGTTCTATGGTCGGGTTGTTGTCTCTTTGACACATTCCCCATTTCCATTCTCAATTTTACTGTTACAACAACAACACTAATACCAACAACAGAAGGTAAAACAATAGGAGGTACTGTTACAACAACAACACGAATACCTACAACAGAAGGTAAGACAATAAGAGGTACTGTTACAACAACAACACGAATACCTACAACAGAAGGTAAGACAATAAGAGGTACTCTTACAACAACAACACTGATACCCAAAACAAAAGGTAAGATAATAAGAGATACTATTACATCAACAACACCAATACCAACAACAGAAGGTAAGACAATAGGTGGTAATATTACAACAACAATACGTATACCCACAACAGAAGGCAAGCGATAGGAGGTACTATTACAACAACAACACCAATACCCACAACGGAAGGTAATACAATAGGAGGTACTGTTACAACAACAACAATAATACCCAAAACAGAAGGTAAAACAATAGGAGGTACTGTTACAACAAAACCAATACCGACAACAGAAGGTAAGACAATAGGAGGTACTGTTACAACAACAACACGAATACTAACAACAGAAGGTAAAACAATAGGAGGTACTGTTACAACAACAGCACGAATACCTACAACAGAAGGTAAGACAATAAGAGGTACTGTTATAACAACAACACTCATACCTATAACAGAAGGTAAGACAATAAGAGGTACTGTTACTACAACAACACCAATACCCACAACAAAGGTAAGACAATAGGAGGTACTGTAACAACAACAACACTAATACCCACAACAGAAGGTAAGACAATAGGAGGTACTGTAACAAAAACAACACGAATAACCACAACAGATGGTAAGACAATAGGAGGTACTGTAACAACAACAACACTAATACCCACAACAGAAGGTAAGACAATAGGAGGTACTGTAACAAAAACAACACCAATAACCACAACAGATGGTAAGACAATAGGAGGTACTATTACAACAACAACACCAATACCCACAACAGAAGGTAAGACAATAGGAGTTACTATTACAACTACAACACCAATACCCTCAATAGAAGGTTAGACAATAGGAGGTACTGTTACAACAACAACACTGATACCCACAACAAAAGGTAAGACAATAGGAGGTACTATTACAACAACCCCAATACCCACAACAGAAGGTAAGACAATAGGAGGTACTATTACAACAACAACACTAATACCAACAACAGAAGGTAAAACAATAGGAGGTACTGTTACAACAACAACAACACAAATACCTACAACAGAAGGTAAGACAATAAGAGGTACTATTACAACAACAACACTCATACCTACAACAGAAGGTAAGACATATAAGAAGTATATATATTACAACAACAACACTTGTACCCACATCAAAAAGTAAGACAATAGGAGGTTCTATTACAACAACAACACCAATACCCACAACAGAAGGTAAGTCAATAGGAGGTTCTATTACAACATCAACACCAATACCCACAACAGAAGGTAAGACAATAGGAGGTACTGTTACAACAACACCAATACCCACAACAGAAGGTAAAACAATCGGAGGTACTGTTACAACAACAACACCAATACCAACAACAGAAGGTTAGAGAATAGGAGGTACTATAACAACAACAACACCAATCCCCACAACAGAAGGTAAGACAATAGGAGGTTCTATTACAACAACAACACCAATACCCACAACAAAAGGTAAGACAATAGGAGGTTCTATTACAACATCAACACCAATACCCACAACAGAAGGTAAGACAATAGGAGGTTCTATTACAACATCAACACCAATACCCACAACAGAAGGTAAGACAATAGGAGGTTCTATTACAACAACAACACCAATACCCACAACAGAAGGTTAGACAATAGGAGGTTCTGTTACAACAACAACACCAATACCCACAACAAAAGGTAAGAAAATAGGAAGTCAATTTTTGTTCTAATAAAATCGCATAATATACCTTTTTTAATTAACACAACACTGGTTTCTTATGTACCCGGGTTCTCTTATTCAAAACACGTGTTTCTAGTAAACACTTCTGAATAAATATCATAATTCACAACACGTGGTTCTAATCCAGCCTTCCTCAGATATATTCTGATTCACACAACACATCTTTTATGTGACTCTTCCCAAGATACATTCATTATCACAACCTATTTTTCTAGTAAACTTTTTTACATAAAGCTGCAAGTGGGGACAGCAGATTGGGTTAAATTTTATTTTTCCTTTTATGCTCATAATTTGATGATAAACCCAAATATATTGTAAAGTCCTTGTAAAAATATTTGATCAGTATTAGGAAAAACTCTATAGTATTTAGTCGTGCAGATAGTACAATGATATGCTAAATCAAAGACAATTTGCGTGTTTCATTCAACTATGTATAGAGGTTCTCAAAATACTGATACTTTGCACAAAAATTATGTACACTGCAACTAAATCATTATACATATTAACAATATCCTTGGTATATTAGTATTATCACACATAACCTTTTTTTCGTCATATGAACCATTCACACGCGCAGACCACCAAATCCATCGTCATCGTTAATTCATGCATACAGCTACACCACTCTTTCCCCCGCCAATGTCAACTCGTGCATGCACATTCACACACTTGTCACCTCTTTTAGTAAATTCATGCACACATTCACATACGCTACCAATTCTTCCGTCAGACTGAGTGTGAATTCCTATATATTCACAAACATAACATATGGTCCCCGTCAATGTGAATTCCTGTATACACACATTCATACCATCCTACACCCGTTTATTATTTACTCTTGCACAGACACACAGTCTACCCCTGTGTGTTAGTCTGTAATATATTTTTCAAGAATACTTTCTTTAAATTCACCAAACGTTGTGGAAGTCAGATATATGAAATCTTTGGGGCATCAAAATCGAAAGAGCCTAAATGTATTATTCAACGTAGTCTAAGTTAAGTTTAGTCTAGAAAGATAAAACCTGAACTTTGAAATTCAGTTCAATCACATGATTTATAAACTGAAAGTTTTCAGTTGAATTGTGTCTTTAAATCTTGTCAAAGTATTATTTAGCAGATGGTATTAATGTGTTACGGTTAAAAATAAAGGGTCCATCTATCAGTTTATAGCTTACTATACGCTATGAGTTTTGATGACCTGTAATTGTGCACATCTGTTCTTTTGGTTTTATAGTCTATTATTTTTTCCATATTTAACTATAAGCTACCGAATGTTGTCAGTGCATTGTAATCTGAATCACATGTAGATTTGTATCACAGCCTGGTGAATTTTAAATTTGTATTTGATTTTCGACATTCACGAGTAAGACTAAAATCATAAAAAAAACTTGTAAATGTAAGGCGATCATGAGCATACCTCAAAGAGACGGCACTCAGAAGACAAACAAAACCTAAAACATGTAAAAGTAATCCACCGCCCACCCCCACCGCCGACCCAATCCCCAAAACCAACAAACAAAATCAAAACCAAAACCAAAAAAAAAAATGTGGTCTTGAATGACAGAGTTTCTTTTATACAATATGGCAATCTTTATTTCCAGAGTCAACAGTTATAATTAGCGTAGTACCAGAAGAAGGGGATGCTTTAGGTGAGTTACCATGTTAACTTAAGTACCGGTACAGTAATTCAACAAACTTAATTTGAAAGCATGACTTTTGAATTGTGATTGTTTGTACAAATCTTCTTTTATTCATATTGTCAGCTAGTTCGTAAGCGTTTTGATAATGATTTTGCGTTTTACTTTTTTTTATTGTAGTACTTTTGTTATTGAATACAGGAGAGTTTTGCGTTGACAAGTCCGTTTAAGGTTGATGTGGACCCTGTGGCTAAAAAGGCTGTGTTTACACCTACAAATTTACTCCGAGTACAGACAAACCTGTGCATCTGGAATAGTTTTAAGGCATAACATTCCCTAGATAAATAAAATGCAAATGCATTTTATGCATTTTATGTTTTAGAAATTAAAAACTTTAAATAAAGAGCAAAATCTTTCATATTTCTGTTGTACACCCAAATTAGAGTTGTTCCGCGATTGCTTAGGGTCGACATTAACTGTTGCCTTTTCCTGTTTGGAATGAAAAGTTCTGAGAATTTCGTTTATACTTTGTGACCAATATATCTGAACTTAATATCACTGAAGGTATTCAGATCCAATACAATTAACCTGAAAGTATTTCAATTTTTTGTGTAAGACAAAACTATAGCAACACTGTTATTACACCTAATTATTGTCTAGCACTACGTAGAGCGTTTAATTGTTTTATTTCATGACAAAAAACAGTAAATGTAGTTAAACTAATATTGACATCACCGGGAATGGCAAAGTTCACACCATATGCTTTATATTGATTGATTGATTGATTGATCGACTACTTTTTTCTCTTGATTAAATTTTATTCAAATATGTACAATAAAAATTCACCAGACAGTACCTGATGTCACAAACAAACAGTTACATGTAGTCAATTAAAACACTATCAAAAGCAATTCAACAAAAGTTAAAAAATATTAATTCTACTACACTACAACAAGCATAGTTTAGAATTAATACAATATTTCTGCATGGTTATCTGTTACTTTAATAACAGAATTGTCTGATATTAAATACTTATCTAATAATAAATGTTCTTTTCTCAGATTTAAAAGATAAAAAAGTGAGAGATGTATTTTTCTAACAATGTTTAAAATAGTCTACTGAATTAAGTTTAGCTTGGGAGATCCAACAATACGAAATTTCTTCTTTTATAGATACTTAATCTTGCTATACTCATATTAAAATTTGTGAAATAAAAACTAAAAAACCGTTACATGTCTTCAAAAAACCCATTAGCATCGTTTGGTCAAAATCAAGCGTGTTTACAAAGGTATCATCATATTGCACATAAAATTTATTAAAAAATCAGTAAATTGTGACAGTTTGATACAATTAATAAACATATGTTCTAAATCTTCTCTAGATTGTTTACTCACCGGACAAGTGTCATTATCAGACATGTTACTTTTCAAAAGTTTAACTTTAGACTACCTAGACCACTCGGCCACCGTGGCCCCCTCTATACGCTTTGTAACTAGGAAAATAACATAAATTCACGATGATTTGTATCTATACGTCCCAGACGTATCTTTATTTACACATAACGTTTTAAGCAAGAATTAATTATTTTGAAAATAATAATAATAATAATAATAATAAGTACAGTATTTATAGAGCGCATTATATAATAACAACAAACTACTCTAAGTGCTTCACATTTAAAATACCAAAAAAAAAACCCAAAAAACATAAAATACAAAGCAATAATTAATACGAATAAAACAAGCAGATAAAAAAAATGCATGTACCCTATAATATACAAAACAGTCTAGAATGAATGCAGTCAGCTAAAGGTATATCTTATAAAAAAATAAAATAAAATCTACAAGAAATACTTTAAAGCAGTTTGAAAGATGTGAGTGTTGAGATGTTTGTTTTAAAAACGTCGAAAGAATTCACATTCCGCAAGGACGATGGCAAACTGTTCCAGAGTGTATGCGCGGCCCTGTCAAAACGCCGTTTTCGTTCAGACTTTGGAGAATATAAAAGCATATTGTTTTCCGACCTGAGGGATCTGTTTGGTTTGTATGGCTTAATTAGTTCTTAAAGGTAGCTAGGAACCTTGCCATGTGTGCTCTGAACATATATAAAAGAAGTCTATATTGGCAACGGTTATGAAAGGGTAGCCAGTGTAACGAGATAAGAACTGGCGTGATTGAGTCAAAATTCCTTTTTCGGGTAATCAAACTTGCTGCTGTGTTTTGGACATGCTGAAGCTTACTAATAATGTTGATGTTGGTACCGTACAACAATTCGTCGCCATAGTCCAGCCGTAATGCAACTAGGGAGCACACTAGCGTTCTGCATGCTTCAACCGAAATCGACCAATATTCCGAATTTGGTAAAAACAAGCCTTAGTGATCGCACTAGCTTGATGTTCCATACTGATGGTTTTATCGAAGTACATTCCCAGATTTTTCACACAAGAAACGTAGCTTAAAACAGTTCCATCAAATGTCAGACGGAAATCGGATAGATGATTCACTTGATGTTTAGGTGCAAAGATAATTAATTCTGTTTTATCTTCATTAACTTTAAGCATATTGGCACTCATCCAATCACAAATATCAGACAAACATCATTTTTTTAGACGTTTGAACAGATCGGGCCAGTCTCCTTGCGGTCTTATGATTTGATAAACCTGAGTATTATCTCCGTACTGATAGAAGTTATGCACAGAATAAATAGATATAGTTGCATTGTTGTTTTCTAAAGCTCTGTCGACGTCATACATCATTGTGTTATTTCACTATCATTAATGTCTCTTTACAGTGACTTTCCTGATCTCTCTGATTTTGTTGATCATCATTGTGATGACCTGCGTTGGTGTACTCATTCTGAACTACAAATACAGGAATCTACTCAAAATTCAACCGGTAGGTTGTCGATTATTTTACCATTGGTATTCAAAATGTCAGAACTTTCGTGTTTTCAAGACTAATAAGATTAATTGTTTTATTATTAATCTGTGGGATTTCTAGGCAACTTCGTGAACATACCATAAACGCGTATAGAATTTTAAAGATTTTGTGAAGAAAAAAAAATTATGATTTTCTTTAGCACAAGTCCAAATTCAGTAATAGCCACATATAATAGAATTTAAGATTTAATTCATCAACCTATTGAAATGTGTAAAGTTTGTACCATGTTATTATTGCAGGAGAAAGAGGGTGAATTTGACAAACCAGATGAGACCGAGGCAGAAGAGAATGTTAATCTGACTGACAGCAGATACTGAGCGACACAGTGTCAACTGAACAAATCACTTAGTCAGTTTAAGACATGTCTAAACATGGCGGAAATTATCCGTTGCATTCAGTGTTTGCATTTCAAGTTTATGTTGTAAATCAATCGCTGCAATTAACATTGATGAATTGTTGTATTTTCATTGATTTGTTTGACTATGTTGCATATTGTCTTTTATTTTTTATGCTCCCGAAAAAAATCTGCGTCGCTTTGTCTGTCAGTTGGTCCGAAAAAGGTGATTTCCGGAAATTATCTTTGTTGGATTTTTTTTTAGCAAAACAAAACAGAATATGAATTGGAAGATATAGGGAAGAGGAAGATGCCTATTGATTTTCGGATCAATGTGTCAAATTTAAAGGTTGCTGCTACTAAAAAGAAATTTTAAAAAGCATTGCTCTTCGAATAAAATCTTCAGCTTCCTTGCTTATAGGAAAGAAACTGTATGGATAGAAAATATCAGGAAGGGGGAAAATTTTATTGATTTTGGGGTAAAAATGTGATGAATTAGGATCGCTTTTACTAAATTTAAAAATGCTTCGGAAAATATTTTTCTGGAAATAAAATGAATTTAATTTATAACAAGTTTTAGCTTTCTAAAAAGCTTTGGAGTGCTTCCTGTATCATAATTATAAGTAAGATGGGGTTTATGTGGTTGTTGAAGTACGAGAAAGGTGTTATTTATCCCCTATATGCATATATTCATAAGTGTGGTCTTATAAACCCGTCTTAGATGAGTGTACTGGGGTATACTGTAGTTTGCCCATGAATACTTCCAGCAAAAACTTAAATTTGCTTTGTAGTTCCGTAAAAATATGGACTTTTAACAGGCAATTTTGACGCAATATTTATTTGCATATGGATATCCTCATGCATGATTTCTTACACAGCAATGTTACTATTAAATTTTAGATGCACAAATATTTCAGATCTTCTCACAATAATTCTAATGCACAATTCGGGGGAATCATGTGGTCTTGACGTAGCTGTGTTTTTTTTTATATATCATTTTGTTTAATAACATATAATACACGTATTTTGACAATTTCTTGAGAATCTTTGGCAGTTATGTGCATTTTAAGTGTTGGTGTATATGCACATATAGTCAGATGAGCACTCGAAAACTTGTTTATCTTTGTCCCTCTTCTAATTTATCAACACGAATTGGTTCGACATTATATAGCATGGTAAACCAGTAAAGACAAAATTATTCATTGATTGGGTATCAGATCGGATCTTGAATACCCATACTGTAACTATGTCCGTATTTAATATATTTTCCTGTTCGGGACATGGTTCCAATTCTATATCTCATTCTAGCCAATAGAATCTTTCCCTCCTCAACAGGCAACCAATGAGAACCGATATTTGTTACGTAATAATTACAAGATGGCGTGAATATCGTATGAAAGTAATAGTTTCGCACCGTGAGGCGAAGCAATAAGGAGATGTGGTATGACTGCCAATGAGAAATCTTTCCACCAGGGACCAAATAAAGTGGATGTAGGCAACTTCAGGCTCCGTACTTACAGTCTTTAACAATGAGCAAGACCCATAACGTTAACGTAAAATAAGCCCGAAATGACAAAATGTTTACAATTCAAACAAGAATTTGTTGGTTTGAAATTATACTGATAATGATGGAGGGTAAACGGAAGGAAAAGAACACTTGATTTTAAAGTTTTAACAACTGCATAAAATATGCTTAAAGTATTGAAATATGAGGTGCAATTTTTTTCTGGGTGATTATTTTATGTACACCTTATGCAAGTGGTAGATAGTAGGAAAAGGTCAATGCTTGTCAAATGTAGACCTATAGGTCATAGGTTAAAGCCATGATTTCCCCAATATATAATGAAATTTCTTTAAATCAGGAAACCCAGCTTAATTTTTCACATTTAATTTTCAAAATATAACATCCATATTAAAATTTGACCAGTATCTGTGATTCTAGAGAAATTTTCTGAATAGACTATTTTTTCTTAATTTTTTCAGCATTGTTATATGGCATATGCCTCCAACTCTTCGAGTCCAAATAAGATTGTCAGTTTTTTATGTTGATGCACCAAACAGATTTTTATGTTTTCTGTTCTTTATTGTCTTGCAGACATATCTCTATGATTCACTGTGTTTACCAAAACTGTCAACTCACAAAAATAAACAAAATGGATTTTTAATGCAATTAAATGTATTTTCAATTTCTTCTGTCCATTCTACCGTCAACTCATTTTTTGCAACGTTTTTAAAGTGAAAACTGTTTAACAAACTATACACAATGCTTTATTTTAATACTATTCTATTGTCTTTTTCTATACTTCGCAATCAGATTTGATAAAAATGCGTGCATTTTAAATGCATGGATGTCTCTTTACGAGCATGCAGTGAATCTTTTATGTTTTTTAAAAGCGCATAAAAGTTGGAAAATCTATGCACATTCCTTCCGTTCATTACTCTTGTTTCATTATTTTGCCAAGTGTGTTTATCATCATCGCATTCTTTGTTGCTTCGTCAATTAAAATATTTCACTCTGCATTGGTTGTTATACTATTATCCACCTGGTTCATTCTAACAGTGCATATTTGAATCCGAAATGGTATTTAAGAATCCAAACCCCTGTCCTCTCAAATAAACCGATTATATACGAGCTGTTGTTCTATTGATTTAAAACGTTTGAAGACCAGAAAATTTAATTCTGGAATTGATGGTTAGAATATGTTCAGTCAGTGCATACTTATTAACAGCTGAATAACAAAAGCGATATAGATTCTACTAAAAGTTCGATTGTAATACTAAATGAATCTCTAAAACGCTGCAAGACTTTATATCATTACTTAAAAATGTAGATTTAGATGACCTTGCTCCAATTCCTGCTATCACGAACGATGACTATTGGTAATTGTTTGACGGTGTTATTGACAAGATTAACTGCAAACGTATACCCTACACTGTTACAGATTATCCAATGATAAGCCGCATCCCGTTTATAACATTGGAAATTATTGTCTCCCGTGCAGTGCTTAGACCGTAGAACGCCCGTGATTTCTTATTGCTGACGTTTTTTTTTTAACATGGAGCCTGTAATTCAGTGGCTGTCGTTGGTTGCTGTCTGTCATAATTGTTTTGTTTTTTTGTTTTTACATAAATCAGGCAGATGGTTTTCTAGTTTGAAAAGTTAAACATGTTCAACGTCTTAAAAATTGATATCTCATTATAAGGAATGGGTTTTGCTCATTGTTGAAGCCTGTACGTTGACCTACAAATGTGTCCATCCAGTCATTTGGTCTGTTACTGAAGAATGAATGAAGATTTGTGATGTTTGGTTAATGTCTCATTTTGTATATACCAAATATTATATTATTTATATGAATAAAGACTTTATGAACGCGATAAAAACAAGACTTATTTTGAAAATAAAAAAGAGCACATCACCGGCCAAATATGGAGAGGTAAGCGAGGTTATAATATTGACAGACAGACATAAAACCATCAAATATGGACGGATCTGAGTGAAAACGACACAGACAGACAGACTTAAAACCGTCAAATATGGACGGATCTGAGTGGAAACAATACAGACAGACATACTTGAAACCATCAAATATGGACGGATCTGAGTGGACACGATATAGGCAGACAAGAATTAAAACCATCAAATATGGACGGATCTGAGTGAAAACGATACAGACATACAGACTTAAAACCATCAAATATGGACGGATCTGAGTGGAAACGATAAAGATAGACAGACGTAAAACCATCAAATATAGACAGATGACAGATTATGAGTGGAAGCAATACAGACAGACAGACTTAAAACAATCAAATATGGACAGATCTTAGTGGAAACATTACAGACAAGCAGACTTAAAACCATCAACTATGGACAGATCTGAGTGGAAACAATACAAACAGACACACTTAAAACCATCAAATACAGACAGACTTAAAACCATCACATATGGGCGGATTTAAGTGGAAACAATACAGACAGACTGACTTAAAACCATCAAATATGGACGGATCTGAGCGGAGAAACAATTTTAAAGCCACTTTTAAAGTGTTCAGTTTGACCTACACTCGAGGCGAACACGCTACAACGAGACCACCAAGACGGTATTTGAAGCACTTGTGGAGACTGTCATATGACATACCCAAAGCAAAATTTTAGAAATGTATCGTTCTATTTTAGGCACTTACCGTCGGAAAAAGTCATATGGGAATACCAAAATTAAGTCATTTATCGATCTCTTAAGCTTCCAAACACTTATTGAGAATGTCCAATGACCACTGTGATAAAGCTGACGGCCGTAATTCGATTCATCTGGTCATCCCAAGATGGCGGACGCAGAATTAGGTAAGAATCTGTATTGTCTGTTAAAGTGTTTCTATTCTATATTCTATGTAAAGCATACATTGGTATGATATAAATTTATAAAAGGTTCACAAATTACTACCGAGAAATGTATATACCTAATTCTTACCTAATTCTGCGTCCGCCATCTTGGGATGACCGTGAATCGAATTACGGTCACCAGCTTTACCCCAGTGATGACAGTACCATCAATTAAAGTTTGAAAATCAATCGATCTCTTCCGATGCACTACAGGAGAATGTATTATGACACAGTAGGGAAATCTATAACACTAATTGAGGCTCAACAGAAGAGTGTCTTATAAGGGTATCTTTTCAGAAATCTTCATAAGACTTAAAATTTTCTAATATAATTTTTATTTACAAGTAATAAATATATCACGTGTTTAAGTAAAGTTAACTATTTGGAAACATACAGCATCTTACATCTGTTCTTTCCATTACAACCATATCAGGCATATATCAGTAAATTACACCTCACTGTGAGAGTGGCATTTAACCACAATGAATCCCCAAGGCAATACGTCATGGTGAAACTACTTCATAATTCTGAAATAATTTTAATTACTTGTTATTATTATTAATCTTGATATAACCAAGAATGCAGCATTCTTAAAAGAAAAATCTGCTTTTATAATGTAAATTTGTACTAATATTTCATGAGGATGTTCGCTACTTGTTTGACTTTTTCTCATATATTCGGAATCCTCTAGTTTTATCTATGTAGATACAAGATACTAGATACAAGATATTTTATCGTGCCAATCATGGCGCCCATTACTGAGCAGAATAATCATCGTAATTACAAAACAATACATAATGCAATATAACATTTGAATTAAATAAAATAAAATAACAAAATAATTGGTTATTAATGATTAGTATGATTGTTATAAAATAAGGTTTAATGCAAATTGAATGTAAAAATATATAAATATATAATAATGTAATGATAAAATTGACAATTGTAAGGAACACATTGCAACTTCGACCAAATAAGTCATGAATCCATGTATTATGAATATTATTATTATTATTATTTTTTTTAATATTATCTATCAGTTCTTGTTTTGTTTAAGATAGTTCTGTAAGCAGGTGCTGAAGGATCTCAATGACATACCTATCATCATTCATCATTAACCAGATGAATTTGTTTTCATCATTCAGAGTATTAAAATTTTTGTATTTGGATTTAATTTTATTGAAGTAATGGTAACGCTTCCCTTCATAAGATGGACATTTTAATAGGAAGTGTAGTGCCAATACAAATTTTGCCTGCTAACCCCTGCTTTTCTTTTCATAATTTGATTGCATATAGTTTAAAAATCCAGTTTTTGGAAATCTTATAAAATCCTTGTGATTGTTTCATAGTTTTTGAAAGAAAAAAGGTGCCAAATGTAAATGTATGAAAATTCTAGAGAGAATCATTTCCCGTCAAATTTTCAGTTGATTATATCTCAAAAACAAGGACACGGACCTGTCATTTTTCTACTTTTTTGGTTCCGTTATTTATAACATATCAATTAAGGGCAGATCTACTAGTTTCACTTTTTGCCATTCACTACTTTTCTAGACTCGTAGCGATTAAGAACCATAGTGTAGACACCTGTCTATTGTTTCAGAAGTAACGTTGATATCTCGATGTCTAATGGTTAATTGTTTTGGTTGCTGTCTCATTGGCCTATACACCATATACTAATTTGAATTACTAAATGAAATGATAAAGTAGTCACTTACTGGTATTAGCATCACTGTCGGCTATTACTACTTCCGGTTGCTGTCTTGTCGTCTGCTTGACAACCTCAGTGTATATTTTATTTGTATTTTGACCTGTTTCAATGGAGTGTATGCTGGGTTGACTTTTATAATACATTGCATTACTTGTGTAGTCAGGTTCTATTGGACCAAAGTCTTCAATGGCTGTTAAAGTGATTCGAAATTAAAATTATTAGAGAATGTAGAATGGGAAAATATTAGCGGATGCCACCTGTGCACAGAAACTGCCTAGCCTCTGGAGCACCGTGCACCCAGCTTTTTGGTTGGTTTTATGTTGTTCAATATTTAGTATTTTCTTTGCAATGTTTGTCTTTATTGTTTATTGTCTTTTCGTCGTTTTTATCTGTGGTCATGGTGTTGTCTGTTTTTATTGGACTAATGATTTTTGATTGCCTCCTTAATCTCATCTCTCTCTTTTCGATTAAAGCTGAAACTTGTGCCATCCTTTATATGTCTGTTTAACTACAGGGGGTTTCTGTGTCATTATCATAAGCGAATCAAAATATATTTCTACTACATAAACACAAGGACTGCATTAGACAGTGCTATTAATGTAACCCATGAAGATTAGTCATGAAATAGACGTTGTGCCCACATAAATCTTATCATCTGGGTTTCATAAAGCAGCAGTAGCCACAATTTTGACTTCAAACATTTACAGTTGCTTGATAAGGGACCATGAGATTCTTCACATATAAATACAATTATTTCAAGACTGAATAAGTTGCTTTATCAAAATTGTAGACATGACCACCTTATATTCATTTAATGTCTAGTAGATTATCAAATATAAATACTCACGATTTTCTTTTATAATATCATCTATATCCTTTGAACTGAAAAAAAGTAATTCCGTCTTAAAGTGTTGTATATGTTTGTTATACATATATAAATGGCAAAACAAGCATTATTACATGGTAAAGTAACATTATGCTTACCTTTATCTCATTTGATTGTATTTTGAGGGAAAATTTCAATTGAAATACCAGGTAAAAAAATGTATATGCTTTTCCCAAAACGTCCACGTTAAGATCACCCTAGTTGTGCATACTTAATTTAAATAATTGCATTCTCCCACAATTTAAAAACATCAAATTTTAATAGATATAAGAAGATGTGGTATGAGTGCCAATGAGACAACTCTCCATCCAAGTCACAATTTATAAAAGTAAACCATTATAGGTCAAAGTACAGTCTTCAACACGGAGCCTTGGCTCACACCGCACAGCAAGCTATAAAGGGCCCCAAAAATTACTAGTGTAAAACCATTCAAACGGGAAAACCAATGGTCTAATCTATATAAAAAACGAGAAACGAGAAACACTTATGAACCACATCAACAAACGACAACTACTGAACATCAGATTCCTGACTTAGAACAGGTGCAAACAATTGCAGCGGGTTTAAACGTTTTAATGGTACCAAACCTTCACCCTTATCTGAAACAATAGTGTAACATCACAACATAGAAAGACACACTATAAAATATCTATTGAAATGGCTTAACTCGATCAAAAGACATATTAACACAAGTGAACATACACTGAACGAATAAATTTGATCTATGATACAATGTAAATACAAAATCAATAAAATAAAATAAGGGATGAATAATTCAAGTAACAGTATTATACCACTGTGAAATATTAAACAATTTCAGAAAAACAACAATAACCTTAAACAAAAATCCGCCATTTACAATAATATTATACTCAGGTAAATTTTTGATGTTCATAGTTCGAAGAAGTGAAAATTATAGTAATACCAAACACTTATCTAAGCTGGTGTATGGACCAGATATAACCCTGAATAAGTAAACATTAAATAACATAAAAGCATTACAAATAGTATCAACAAGTCAAATTAACAAGAAAGTACGATTTGAGAGTACTCGCAGTTACTGACAGCTAGTTAAAAGCCAAAAACAATTAATAATAAAAAAATCATGCATCAGAGACTAAAATCAACTAAAACAGGCCGTAGGATAGTTAGGAGTTAACCTCTTAATAGATAAAAATGGACGTGGGTGTGTCTTTATACATCCCGTTTGAAAGGAATACAAATTTAGTTATGTTTTAATTTGCTGATGACAAAATCGATATTAGTGCCAATGTAAACTATATTCAAAGATCTAATTACAACATTGGTAAGATAACCTTTACTAATACGTTTGTTTAAAGGTTCGATGAGTTTACACGGATCACATAGTCATTTCCGTCCTTTCAGTACAATATTACCGTAAAATTTAGGATGTGAAATACCGTTTTTAATAAGTTTTCTACAGGTACAGCCAAATTTACTAATCAAATCTTTGTATCTATGAAAGAATTTAGTAAAAGTTTTACGTAATTTATGGTAACGAAATCACTGACTTAATAATTTACCAGTGATGCATTGGTTACGTTCGTTAAAATCTATGACATCACTAAACGAACGAGTTGGGATATATAAACACCGTATGATGGAGCCAAAGGAATTTCGCCATCTAAAAAAGGAAAATTAACAATAGGGAATGAAAAATCGTCTCTTTTGTCGTAAATTTTAGTATGGAGTTTCCATTTAGAAATTGAAATGTCTAAATCTAGAAAAGGAAAACTACTGCTGTTTATGTTACATTTAGTTAAAGTAAGTTCTTTTGGGTAAATTTCGGCAATATTTAGAGAACTCTGGATTATTTAACCAAAAAATATCATCCAGATAACAGTAGGTATTGTTGAATGTATCAACCAAATGTAACAATGACGTGTCTTTACTGAGTTTGGTCATAAACTGAGATTCACAGCAATACAGGAATAACTCTGCTATTAAAGGGGCGCAGTTAGTGCCCATAGGAATACCTACTACCTGTCGATACACTTTATCGCCGAAACGTACATATATGTTGTCCAGGAGAAAATTTAAAGATTCAATCATATCTTCACATTTCCAGTAAGTGAACCTAGCATACTTTCCTTTTTCGTTACAGAAAAAGGCTTTAAACGAGTTACAGCAAATAAATTTGCAACAAGATTTCTCAAAAGACCATTCAACTTAATATGAAAACTTTTCTTGATAAGATTGTGTGGAAGTGTAGTGTAGACAGTAGAAAAATCATAGCTGTCAACAGAATAAAAAGGACCATCAAAAGCACAATACCTTGATCTCCATGATCTCTTCCGTTGTTTTTCTGGAAAATAACAAAACAATTTAAGTTTACATAATTTTTTCGATATGTCTTATTGTATTTGAAGCACAATTTAAAACTTATTAGTGTCCGAAAAGAAAACTGCTTGCGCACTATTTGAAAACAATATTATTCTGTGAAAAAATGTAAAAATTATCAGTCTAGTTTAATATCCAATGAACATTCACTCTCTGCTGAGCACTTTTACAGATATGTCAATTGAAAGTTGAAATTCGCTAATTTAAATTCTCGGATATCTAATTCCGATTCCTGAGTGAAGATGAAATGAAGAATGAGGTGGAAAACATTGTAATAATCACAATGGACGAAACTGAAAGTTCACGGTTATTATGACAAATCACCAAAAAAAAGAGTGATCAAAAACAGTAGGTGGTTTTCTCATCATTTGTAACCAAATGATTCTGTACAAGTCATTATCGCTATTTGAGATTCTGCGGTACTTGTCGCTATATTTATTTTTTTTTTTTGCTTTTCTGAATATTAGTTCTACCTGTCTTTTTCTTTTTTCTGTAACAGTTTACTACACAGGCAGCTAATATGATAAATACAACAGCACCAATAACACCTGCTACAATAGCTTCTACCTTCACTGAAGATTCCGAATGTGGTTCTGCAATTAAGTTCTTAGAAAGTCAGACATGTCAAGTTGGATGATATCGGATATGTTCCTTATGTCGTAACTACAATACCCTTCCCTTTTCACGAATGTGACCTACCGAATTAGACTATTTACCGGATTTGTAATAGCATAAGCAACGCGACAGGTGCAACCTGTGGAGCAGGATCTGCTTACCCTTCCGGACCACCTGAGATCACCCCCAGTTTTTGGTGGGGTTCGTGTTGCTTAGTCTTTAGTTTTCTATGTTGTGTCATTTGTACTATTATTTGCCTGTTTGTCTTTTTATTTTTGGCCATGGCGTTATCAGTTTGTTTTCGATCTATGAGTTTGACTGTCCCTCTGGTATCTTTCGTCCCTCTTTTGGAAATGGAAGTTGGAAGTGAGAAATGTCAAGTTGCCATTTCAAAGAAAGAAATTTTGGCATCAGAATGTCATTTCCGGTCATAGATAAAGCCATGTATGGATTTGTTTTTAATATTCATATCGGAAAAGATAGGATATGAGGTATCTATTCATTACACAAAATTACAATACGAGCAAGTTATAACTAAAAGCAAAGGAACGGGGCTTTTATAACTGTTCCCATCCTCAAAGTTAGCGTGGCCTTCGACAATGAGAAAACAAACTCTCACCTTATCATTTTTTAGATAAATTTTTGTATGCTTTTCATTTTCATCGCTTTTCAGTTTAATCAGTGTGTATTTTCCTCATACATAATAATTTCATACTACATACATGTACTACATGGAACAATAAAATAATACGTTATATACAAAACGGAAGAGGCATGTCATGCTGTGACGAAAAATCTCTCTGCAACATTGGAGTCCCCTCATGACAAACTTTTGTGTTCAAAATTTGAAAAATTAAATTTGAATATCTTTGCTGCTTACTATCAAATGTTAGCTTATTATATAATATAAGTTCTTGTAATATATACGGATTAAAGAAGATAGAGATATACTGATAATGCATTATTAAGACAAAGGAGTTGTTCTTTAACGTGAAAAAAGAGTGCACAAAAATCCTAACACAAGTCATAGGATTAGACATCTCCATTTCGAACGGACATGGCTTCGTATTTATACTTCCCCAAGGCAAACGTATACCCCTCTTTAGCATGGGTAAATTGATTGCAGGGAGAAGCAAAAACTTACCATTTGTTTTTTTTTTCTTTTTTTTTCTTCTGCAAGGATATTGTCTATCTTTTTTATTAATGATGTTTTATTAACTTCTTAGTATTTCCTCACTATTTCAACACTTACCAATTATATTTACACTAAAACTTGTATTGTGCTGTCCCATCGAGTTGTGTACTATAACAGTGTATTGACCACTGTGTGAGGAATTAGTTTTCTCTATGTTTAGTGTCAGTAGATGGATTGCGTCATTACTAATGTCAGAAATTTGAAAATTGTTGTCTGGGATTATTATCCCATTGGTCTGAGAGCTGTTAGATCTGAAATACCACGTGATGTTGGGTTGAGGAAAAGCCACAATCTTAGTTTCCAATGTTAACATCCCTCCAGCCTGGATCGATATATCGTCTGGGCTGTTTGTGTTCTGATCTTTGCGTGGTGAACCTGCCATATTTGGAAATGATATTACTTTAAACATATATATCCACCAACATATGTTATACTTCCAAATGTGTCAGTTGCATAAGTCTGATAGTAAAAAGTATTAAATTGATGATTAAAATAAGTCTTGTTCGACCGAGAGGGGAATTCCAGTAGATGGTGGTTGGTCAAGTGCTAAACCAAAAAATTGAAGCTAGAAAAAAATTTAAAATTTATAATCTGGAAAATGCGACCAATAAAATATAAGATAACTGCGTCACTTCTTTTATAGGTACTTTGATATGCCCGTTAGACATTAGTGATACTATATACTATTACTGCATACAATTTTCATTAAAATTGAGAATGGAAATGGGCAATGTGTCAAAGAGACAACAACCCGACCAAAGAGCAGAAAACAGCCGAAGGCCACCAATGGGTCTTCAACACAGCGAGAAAATCCCGTACCCGGAGGCGGGCTTCAGCTTGCCCTTAAACAAAATTTTGTACCAGTTCAGTGAAAATGGACGTCATACTAAACTCCAAAACATATTAAAAATAACTATTTATGTTAACCTGATATACCTGGCTCATCAATTCTAATTGTTTACTGAGTCATATGTACTCTTGAGATTTATCAGTTCACTAGAAATGGAAACGACTGAGTGGAAGAAACATAACCGTACGATACAGATTTCAGTATGCCAATTTGACGCGTGTTTAGTAATATTTACCAATTACACTCGAAATCTAAAGTCTGGGTTCAAATAAAGGCAACAGTAGTATACCACTGTTCAAAAGTCATAAATCGATTGAGAGAAAACAAATCCGGGCTACAAACTAAAACCGAGGGAAACACATCAACTATAAGAGGAAAACAACGGAACAACAGAAACACTGAAATGCAACAAAAACAAACGCCAACATTCATAGAAACGGACTATTTGATAACAACTGCCATATTCCTGACTTGGTACAGGACATTTTAAGAAAAAAGGGTGGGTTGAACCTGGTTTTATGGCTAGCTAAACCTCCCGCTTATATGGCAATGTTAAAAAATATCGCAAAATGACAACACTACGTGACAGGAATAAAGTACAAATAAACGCAAGAACTCTCAGCACAGAGAAACGCATAAATAAATAATATAATAGCACATTACAACATGTAAACCGCAGGATAACAACAGACATCTTCCTTTAACGACGGCACAGGACACCACAAACAGTGACGTATTTTTTGTGACGTATACATAATTTTGAAATTCATACAATTATATGGAACGAGATCCAAAAATTCACAATTATTTTCACAATACTAGTCCAAATAAATATCATGATTAGACGGTCTTGAAAAGCTATTCTAAATTAATGCTGTGACGACGTCATAATAATTTGGACTAGCACAATACTTTGTCCATGGAAAATGGAAATAAATTCACTCGACTATACTGACAAATAAGACATATGTGAAATGTACCGAAAATACAGAATTCAAACTACAAACGATATGCTATAACACGATATCTTAAATACATGAATGTTGGATGTATAAATACCGAGACACGTCGTATAGCAATACAAATTCACACTCGGCAAAACAGTCATTTCGGGAATAGGTCACGTTCGATACTTACCAGATAGACGACATAGATGTTAACAAAACACATAAAACTTTAAGAAGCATCAAAATAAAAAAAAAGACAAATCATCCAAATTTAACTTTGCTAAGGGTGTTGCAATCTTAGCTTAAGAACATGACCATCATTTATTAAAAATACCATTTGAATATATCATTTGTGTCAGGCCTATATCGGAGCATGGGCTACATGGCGGATAGATCCTTTGAGTTAACGAGAGGATCCGCTAAAGTATCTGTAAAAGGTTTATATATTCAGAATTTATTAACTTACAGAAGACACTAAGTCTGATATAGCGTATGTCTGGCTGAATTAGACCATTATCAACAGAGACAGTATAGTTTCCAGTGTCCTCGCACATAGAAGTCATATTCAGACTGCTGTTCGTGACGTCATTTTCTGTCAGCAATATGGCGTCGGTTCTATCTCGTGTCCATGTTACGTTAGGTAATGGTTTGCCTTCTACATAGACATATGCTGTATATGTTTGTCCCTCTGTCATAGATGTATTTGTGGTGTTGAACGTCAAGATTGATCCTTTATCTAAAAGGGACAACTACAAATTTACCAACTTTACTCAATACACGATACAAGATACAATATTTGATATTAATAATTAAAATCAATAGAATCTTCACCATGTGGCTTTTTTGTAAGGAGATATGAAAGTAGCAGTGACTAGATTATGCGATGTTCAATTAATCAGTGGATTTAATAACATAGGCACAAGGATAGGCAAACTAAAAAGCACTATTTTATTATTTTTGTTTCTGATTTTCTGTGGCAAAGTTTTTTCGATGTGAATTTTTGTTTTCTTACAGGTTTATGTATTAAACCCTCAATGGAGTCCTCTCAATACATTAGTTTTGTGATCTCTCTATTTGACATTGTTTTTGATATAACTATATAATATGACAATGCAGTTTGTTAATTAAATTATGAACTTACATAAGACATCCAAAAATACAAAATCTATTGTCGGATCTCCGATGCCATTGGTAGCATTACAGGTGTAGTTGTTAGTATCGGTTCTGTTTAAATAACCTATTGTCAGGATATTGCTGGTTTGTTCGGAAACCAGTTGTGAATTGATATACCACATAAAATTGTTGACAGAAGGATTGCTGTCTAAAATTAAGCAGGAGATATTGTACTTTTGAATTCCTTCTAGTGGGATTCCATTTGGATAAACATTTATGTCCGGTGGATCTAAAAGAAAAATGAAAGAGCAATAATTCTAGAGACGTTAAATTAGATAAAGTGTACAATGTAAACAATATGAAAATAAAAGTTTATTTCATCTTATTTTTCTTTCATGAAAGAGATACTGGTTTATGTTCAAACCAAAAGTAAAGACATCATTATTATGAACACTATTAAATCATTAGAATATACAAAATGACGTGATCACTATCCAGAGCATGACGTAATCAATATCAACACAATGACATCAACAATATAAGGGGGATGGTTATCTGATTTTGGGGGAGGGTGGTGGTTATGGATGGAATATTCAATCTCACCTGTTACTAGAGCGGCTTCATATGTTTCTTCACTTTTTTACACATATATTTTCTACATTGTGTTGTGCAGAATATTCATTTACATCTTGTTTTAAAGCAAGGTTTTTTTTTCAGTTCTTAACCGGCCAAAATATTCATTTCCAAAATGCGTAAGCAGTATGACATCATTGCGTTGACATATTTCTGCTAAAAGCTGTCACGATCCTTCCAATAGTTTAACAAAACCACAATTAACCGATGTTTTCAAAGCTTCTTACCTACCAGCAGTCTACCATTTCCAACAGTTTGTATTTATCATAACCAACAATAGACTTGATTCTTATTATTAGAACAATTGACAAGATTCACCTTTAACCATTTTATAATACTGCTGCAAACAGGTGGACAGGGTATCTATTTTATAAATCAAATCTATAATATCTTACATGTTATTGATAAGAAGATTCCAGATGATTCTTCCTGTTTTTCACCACTCTTCGCAACACAATACAATCGCTCCGCATTATCGGTCCTGTTCCCAGTATACGTGAGCGTACTGGTTCCCGATGGTCCCGTTTCATCAAACGTTGTTATTGTGTAATTGTCGTGAATCTGACGTCCAGATACGAACCATGTAAAATGTGGTAGAGGGCGACTTCTAGCTAAACAAGTGACATTAACTTCATCGTTCTGTTGCAGAGTAATGTTTTCTTTTATTTCCATTTCTACAGCCACTAACGGTACTATACATAAAGAGAGTATATATATATATATATATATTGCATTACTTTATGTAAAAAAATCGATTCTTTTTAGGTTGAAATCTTTCCTGGATTAATAATCTATTTCTCTTTATATAGTTTGTGTTGAACTGATGTGAATAGTTGTCTCATTGGCATTCATACCACATCTTATTCTTATATGTATAAAAATTCCGTCACATATTTCTAGGGAATTACAATGATAGCTTCCTGTGATTTATAAGCAGACTTTGTGCCAGCATGCATTACTGTGTGATGCGATTTCAGATTCATTGCCCCTCAAATTCCTGCTAATCATATGATTTTGGATTATTCTAACACATACTGGCCATGTATTTTCGAGGGAACTACACATAAGAACTTTCGGAGATCTATTATCCTGCTTCATATGAACATGCTTTGCCGCGTTTTGTGATTTAAGATTTATTTCTCCTTAACTTCCTGTTTACCAAATACTTAAAGCGGTAGTATCATTTCTCTGTATTAATCCTATCAAATCCAATCCCTAACAACTTGACAAGAAGTGTAACTAAATGCTGAAGAAGACCTTTACAAAATCACAGCGCCAAGGGCGAAACTTATATTACATTTCTAACTCGTGTTGTTTCGAAAAGTTTTTAATTTTTTATTGGACAGAGAGAGGGCTCTAAGAAATTCAATAAAGAAAATAGATTTACATCACACCGAACAAAGTTACATGTACTTGTCATTTTTCTCATCTGAATAAAGCTCTCCCATAGCAACAGCTATAACTTTTTAAATAGTGTAATTGTTTAGTGTTTCATTTGGTAACGTTAATTAGTGTTAATTTACTTGTCAGTGACACTTTGAGATCATCAAACTTTGTGTTTTTTGTAATATGAAAATTTTGAAAAGTCTGTATAAAACTATAGTTTGTTATCGTTTTGAAAAAAAGAATTAAATAAATGCATGGAGAAACCTGTTCAAATTGCATGGATTTATAACCCTTAATTTAAAAAAAAAATGGCTGTAAGAAGCAATATTTAATAAATATACTTTTACTGCTAAATCTTTCGTACTTAATTTTGACAAGTCCACAAATAATAAAAGAATATCATTACAAGAGTTTAAACATACAACATCTGGTTTGATTCCAGAGAGACTGGTATCCACAACAGACCAAAAATTACATGGAAGTAAGCAACAATACATAACCGTACGGTCTTCAACAATGAGCAAATCCCATACCATAAGGTAAGCTCTAAAAGGCTCCTACATGACAAAACTGTAAAACAATGAATGTTCATGGGACGTTTTCAATATTTAATAATAAAAGATTAATTATTATACTAATCAGTGCCTATGCACAGTCTCCAACGTAATTTCTTACCGTTCACCTCAACAGTAATAAAGCCTTCCACTGAATCTGAAGAATCAGCACTATAAAAAGCTTCACATGTGACGTTAGTTTGATGATAAGAAGATGAAGCTCCTAAAATAGTCATAGAAAATGTTAATGATGACATGTCACAAGAGGCATCAAACAAGGTCATATTTGGGGTTTGAAAAAATACACAATTATTATTTTGAAATATCCAGCTGGCGATTTCTCCATCAAAGAACGATGATTCGAAATGAACTGATCTTGGAGTTCCCGTTACTACACAAGTAAAATCTATGTTGTCTCCTTCTATAACCGGAAATGTTTTGTCTACAGATAAGCTTACTGTCCTTGATGTAGTTCCTGGAAAATACAATTTGATGTAATACGAAATGTAACCTTGCTACAATTTACTTGAATAATGTGCATAATACTCAGAAGATTGAATTAAAAGCGTCAATTTTAATCTTTTACCCAAAACATTTACAACTGGGAAAATAACACTAAATAGCCTGAATTTAAAAACAGTATGTAATTCTCTTCAACCCGTTTCATCTATATTAGAAACAACATTAAAAACTATTTGATTCTGATTACATCAATGGGAGCCATATCTCATAATTTTTAATTAGTCTTTTTCTGCTAAATGAGGAGGTGCGATGAGGGCCTTATTTGGCCTAGAAGTATTACGACATCATATGAATTTGGTGTAGAGATTATTGAAAAGTGTGTGAAAAGTTCAAACAAAGATCTTTCCGATTTGACGATGAAAAACAGCATATTTTCTCTTCTCTTTTTTTAGTTATGCGGTTCTCTCAGGGTTTTAAAAGGTTTTTTGTACTTTTATTGATTCGTGTTTTTGAGGGACTTGTGAGAAAAAAAAATTGGTTTATTATTGTTGCCTCTAATTTCTACCGAACATTGACAAACAATTATTATTTTTACTTATATGTTAGCAGAAAAAGATGTTTTTTATATAGACCATAATTTTTCTAAATTATTTCGTTAGTACTTGAATGTGCTCTGCATTTGCGGGTTCTAAATTTATATGAAAGTTTCTTTAAGTGTATGTCTTTTTCACGAAACTAGTGGTATAATCTGCCGAATTTGTCGTTAGGCTTTCTAAATATTCTCATTTCAACTTTTTTTTAAACAGATGTTTTAAAAGATTAAACATACTGTTTTTTTCAAAACGTCATCTTAAACATTATTCACAAACTATTCTAACATAAATTATTAATTAAGTATTACTTACTTTGAAAATAAACAAAATAATAAACCAAAATCCCAAATCCGTTCCTCCACGCCATTTTGGACAAGGTCCTTATCGAAGTAAGAGAAATAATTTCATACAAAACAAATTACAGCTATCTATGACAAAGTCATAAAACTATAAATTGTGTTGACTTAGAATATTGACAAATGTAGGGTGGGTTTTACAACGGTTATAATCAAGTGTTATTCCGTATGTTGTCGTTAAGACAATACAGTTGGCAGTATGATTGAAATGTAACACGAACAGTACACAGGTATGTTACTCAGCATAACTTTAGGTTAACGTACTTGATCATGTTCTTATTGTATTATAATTCACGTTTTCATATATTTTTGAAATCACAAACATTGAATTCGTAAATTTCTCGTATACAGCAGAATTTAATAATGCAGTGATGTTTTATGTCTATTCAGGTAGATAGAACTGCGATGGTTGGTACAAGCTTTCCTCCAAGGTCATCACGGCTGGTCGCTTTACTGGTGATTTTACATTTAACAGTTTGTGAAGGTAAGCTTACATAAAAAAAAATAGAGATGTGGTATGGTGACCAAACGCGGTAAAGGACCAAGATGGGACAATTACATGCCATCGTGCGGTCTTCAACAATGTACAAAATCCATACCGTATATAAAACTTTAAAAGGCCTCGACATGACAAAATGTGAAACAATTCAAAATCCCAAAACAACGACATAATTATTACTACAACTATAATCGAACTACAATTATGGCAGACAACTAACGACAACTACTGGATTACAGGTTCCTCATTTAGGACATACACGTTAAGAATGTGGCGGGTTAAACATGTTTTTGAAGCTCAACACTTCCCCTAACCTGTGACAGTAGTGTAAAAACACAAAATAAAAACAAACTTAAATTCAGTTGAAAAGGGGCCGGACTCGTCAGATCGGTACTAACATCAAAAACAAATATCAAAAGACACAAAGTACCGATCTTAGAATGCTCACAGTTACTGACCGCTAGTTCTGAACCAAATATCCATTTTCTACCAGACTGAAATATCAATCAGTACACTTCCAACGGATTTAGTAAAAGATTTCATTAAAAAAACAGAGAAAAAACGTGACTTTGTGCAATTCCAAGATTTAAATACCAAGCAGATTTAAGCAAATTTAGATCACCGTACGGCCTTCAACAATGAACAAAAGACATACGGTAAAGTATTATGACAATTTATATTTATCTTGAAAATTATAGTTGGGCACACATCAAAATAACACTAAGGATTTAACAATGATCTAATCGTAAAAGACAGCTTTTGTTTTTCATTTTACCAGGACAGCTGACTTTTTCTACGGGCTATATCATTGAGGGACATCCTACGACAATTTTCTGTAGAATACCTGATTTTAATGGCGTAGCTCACTGGATTAAAGATGACGAACAGTTCACAGCAACAACTTGTAGCAGTTCTGGTTTTTGTAAGGTAGAAAACGAAGGCACTAGATACAATTATGCCAGTAATGTGTCCGGTATATCAGTTACCATAAGTAATATTGCCAGAAATGAAGAGAGGGATTGGAAATGTGGCCATCCGGGATATGTTTCTGCAGTCTACAGAATACGTTATAATGATAATGTTTTCGGTAAATATAATCCTAATCATAACACTGATATTTTTGCTGATGATAGCACTATTTCTGTGATTGGGAAAAACAAAAGGTGTATAAGTCAAACATTCGATACTGAACTATACATTATTGTAAGTGTTGCTATGAAAACAAAATGTTAGTAAATATGTCAAAAACATATTTTCTTCCGTGCGCAATGAAGCATTTGATATATACATTAATGACCAGCATAATAATGAAAGTCAGTGGAAAAAGGTTTGGTATTTTTGTTGACGAAATTCTAGATTGATATGATCATAACATTTACATTGAACCGAATTTTTTCATGGAGTGAAAAAGAAGGTACTAGTATACTGTAATATTTTTACTTCGTGGCGACACAAACGAAATGAAATCTTGTAATACACAAAAACTCAAAGCTATTTGTCAAAATGCTGCTTTCAGCAATAGGACGTGTGCGTTGCTGTTGTAGATCTGTTATCCTCTTCTGAAAACTTACTCCGTCTCTATTATTTTATATATGTTTAAATGACTGTTGCTTGCTCTACGTCCGGTGGAGAATATGTCATGCATATTCAGGATGAAAAACAATTAATAATTAATAAAAAAATGGGAATAGGTTCTGAAAAGTTAGCTTTTCCTTACAACAGGTCAGTTGTTGCAAGGCCCTAGTTCTTTTAGGGGCAGACAGCGTATTACTTTCCCTCCGAGAGGCATCGGATTTAACGCATCCCATTCCAACCGGACGTGGCTGTGTATCTATACATCCCACTTAAACAGGAGTTTTACTTCCAGACGAGAGAAGTCCAGTGATGACCATATTTCTAATACTATAAGCAGCAATGTGTATATCATCTTTACCTTTTATTGGGTTGACAACAATATTTTAACTCATTCAATATGTCAGAGCTTGCAGTTGTTGATATTCTGTCTGTTGATTTTTTCGTTGTTTCACTAAAGAAGTCCATTGGTAACTCTGATCTGGGACTATTAAAGCCAATATATTATGGCCCAGCTCTGATATACTAATTCCCGAACATACTTTTATAGGTATGAGTTGTGTTTTCCGAACTTCCGAAGTGATAAGAGTTAAATGCTATGCTTTACGACTGTAATAACTGGCAAATAAGGGAGAGGTTTGGCACCGTAGAACATATCTAGTCACTCCATTATGTATGAAAGAAATGTCTGAAACCATTCTTGAGTATACATGTTATATTTTAATCGTGATTGGGACTTCCCGATATCATTTATATAATTGAACTTTTGAGGTTATTGTGTCATTTTTTTCATCGAACTTTTCGTTAACCTTTTTCGTTTATTTTCCCTGGAACTTTTGAATAACCTTTGTCATTTATTTTCCCTAGAACTTTTGACTAACCTTTGTCATTTATTTTCCCTAGAACTTTTAAATAAATTTAGTCATTTTTTTTCCTAGAACATTTAGGACACATTTGATTCCCATCTTTATATTAAACTAAATCCAAGCAACATTCCCACATGTATTTAAAGAATAATCAATGTTTTTATCTAAATTTACAGTTATATCCGATAGTGTTGTAGTTGATGGATTGGACAGGAATGTAACACTGGGAGATGATATACCCACGGTTAAGCTTACTTTTACTACAGGATGTATGCATCCATATCCTACAGTTTCTATTTACTCCAAGCATGTAAGTATGCATGTCACGTTTGAGTTCATTTTATATGTTTATTGCGTTGGGATTATTTTTATAAACTCATTAAATGGAACATTTGATAGCAGATCTTTGACTGTTCACAATTTTTGTAGTTGGAACACAACAATATAGCGGTGTAAAAGGAACTTTCTATGAACCTAAAACACACTGAAAATTTCTACAAAATCATTTCTATGAATGAACAACACTTTTTACGTTAATGATTTAAGATTTTATTTGAAGACATGTAGCTCGAGCTAAAGTAAGCTTTTTACTATATGTTACAGTTAAACTACCCAAAAAAGCATTTTACTACATTCAACAGTACAACATCAGCGTCCCGACAAACAGATTACATATAGCACTAATCAAACAACACATGTTTTTGCAATGATATCATAGTACCTTTAAACTTAAAACCATGAATTATAAATGTATAGAATTATATCTAAACTGGCAAAGCCAGATCAGAAATATCATACTTACATTTTAACGTACCTTTAAATCCTGAGAAAAAAACCCTCATCAAATATAAAAGGCTTATATTTGTGTACAACATGCGCGCGTTGCGTCTACAAAAGACTCATCAGTGACGTTCGAATAAAAAAAGTTAAAAGGCCAAAAAAATACGAAGTTGGGGAGCATTGAGGGCCCCAATCTCTGGCGCAGAGCTCGCATCCGTTCTATAAGTTGGGGAGCATTGAGGACCCTAATCCCTGGCGCAGAGCTCACATCCGTTCTGTAAGTTGGGGAGCATTGAGGGCCCCAATCTCTGGCGCAGAGCTCGCATCCGTTCTGTAAGTTGGGGAGCATTGAGGGCCCCAATCTCTGGCGCAGAGCTCGCATCCGTTCTGTAAGTTGGAGAGCATTGAGGGCCCCAATCTCTGGCGCAGAGCTCACATCCGTTCTGTACTTACTTCGTATCACTACACTGAATGTTAGTGTAGTGTAGTGTACTGAGTATAACGAACGGATACGAGCGCTGTACGGAGATTGTGAGGGCCAAAATTCCAAAAGGTTTTGCAAATTCAGCTGTCTATAAATTTCAATTGTAGGCTTTCGACCAAAGAATTATATTTTACATGATTCAAAAATGGACCTGTACTTTAGAAGGGTACCTTTTAACACAATACTTATAAGTCGTTTTCTTTTTCAACAGAACACTAATACATCAATCACCTCAGAAATAGACTATGTGAATGTTACAAATACAACGTGTACGGCACCGGAAGCTGGTTATACAGGGGTGATGACTATATATTCTGATTACACTTGTAATACTACACTCTTCCCACAATTGCTGATTACGCCGACAGGTCTTCCATCGGAGTATTCCACAACTGAATGGATGTCAAATTATTACATCAGGTTTCCTACCTGTAAAGGTAATTGTTGTTTAAATCTATTAGCGCTGAACATAATGAACGTTATTTTTAGAGCAGATTTTACAGAAAATGACATGCATTCGACATCTATTTTAAAGTTAATATTCAGGTTCCTTTGATTTGGAGGATGTGATTCATTTGGAAATATTTCAGATAATGATCCTAATTCAAACTTTTTTTGACTCTATAATCTGTATTAATGTGAATCTGTGTTTTTCATTTTCTATATAAACTACACTCGACATATACGTTATTTTACGTTTCATTTTTACAAGAGTCTTTGGGGAGCCTATGTCGTTTACCTATTCTTGTACTATAACCGATTGCCAGCATTTTCGCCACCAATTCAGGGATATCATTCAGGCAGACACCTCATGAAACTTCCTTTTTACGTTTGATAAAGTTCCCTTGCCTAAAGCTTTGGAACAATAGTTTACCCCTATCTCGTTGGTCCCATGGGAGAAATATGTTGCAGTACAGCAGCCTTGTTTCTTAACTGATCACCAAGAAATAACATTAAACGCTAAAACGACGAGAACGGAACGATTAAATATCAAAAGCAAAAACATTTTTTCAAGAAAACAAAATTAAGAACTTTTGAACGGGATTTTTCTGCATTATTTAATGTTTTGAATTGTATTGCATATAAGGATTGCATATACTGATTTCGGGCTATATTTTATTTCATCATATATAATTACGCATTCATAGTGGTACGTTGTTGTTTTAAACTTGTTTTCAGTTCTTTGTCGTTTTGTAAAGTTGAACGGTTCCCGTGAGAAATATATGATGATAATTAGTTTTAAGTTTTCGATAGTAATTAGACGGCAAAATAATCTTTAGGAAAGTTTCAATTTTTAAACTACAGAAGTATTCGATTTATTTCACAGCTGTTTGTTTTATTATATATTATGGGGTTCTATCTAAAGTGAAGGCCGCCAATAGATATCCAGTTCAAAGAGTAATTTAGTTCACCTGATTATGTGGTATAACATTCCCCCTTCCCCTTAATATTTGTTTAGTGCCATGGATGATAAAAACAATCTTATTTAGAATTTTGACTGAGCCATGCCATTTAATAAAATGAATATTTATTTGAAACGAACAAGAAATCGATTTAGGTATGACAAACAAAATTACTTAGGAGTCAAAAGATGTTACTAAGGAATTCTTTAGTAGATTCATTAAATCAGGCAAGATTTACAAGAAGTAAGAAAAATAAATAAAATAATATTCTCCCTTAGGTAAACAATAAATATCAAAGACTTCTCACAGATTTTATAATGACCCAATATTTATTTACCCTCAGAGTTGTAAAATTTAAAGGCGACACTGTAACTTGTAGCTGTGTGATGTGTTGTTTCTTGTTAGTTTACAGCCTAACACTTGACTTCGTCGAGGGGTCGAGGGTTTCTCAAGTAGGGGAAAATTTATTCGGTTTGGTATATTGGACCATAAACATTTGTCAATACACATACTGTGCTATAATTTGCCATTTACATTTTATGTTTAAATGTAAAGCTTGAATTGAAAGGAATTTATTACGTTAAAGTAAATAGATAAATGATGTCTAATCTTAAATTTTGAATTTCATACATGAAATATTTAGAGTCGAATTGATTTGTGTAGTTGTTTTCCCCCGTGGAATATTAAGTATCTTGTATCTTATGTATACAATTAGTTGTGTCTTACAGAATTTAGGTATAAGAAATAAAATGATTTCCTAAAGGTGCATTGTCCGCCAAAAGTGTGCGTGAATTGGTATTAAAATAATTCCCTGTTCCTGATTATGGTGGTCTTACTGACAATAAAATGATTTGTAGGCAATCGTCTGTACCAGTGTTAACACTAGTGCAACATTGTAAAACATCGCAACAAAATCATATCTTAAGGGCCCCCAGACTATACTGTCTGATTTTACTTATATATAAAAAAAGAAGACGTGGTATGATTGCCAAGAAGACAACTCTTCACAAGAGACCAAATGACATAGAAAATAACAACTATAGGTCACCGTACGACCTTCAACAATGAGCGAAGCCCATACCGCATAGTCAGCTATAAAAGGCCCCGAAATGACAAATGTAAAACAATTCAAATGAGAAAAACTAACGACCTAATTAATTTACAAAAAAATGAACGAAAAACAAATATATAACACAGCAACAAACGACAACTACTAAATTACAGGCTCCTGACTTGGGACAGGCACATACATACAGAATGTGGCGGGGTTAAACATGTTAGTGGGATCCCAACCCTCCCCTAACCTAGGACAGTGGTGTACAATATAAGAACGAACTTATAAAAATCAGTTGAAAAAGGCTTTACTCATCAGATGGATACAAATAAAAATACATCCAACAAAAACACAGAGTGGACGTGGCCGGGTACTTGTACATCCCAACCACAAAAAGACGCTAATTACAGATCTGAGAGTACTCCCAGTTACTAACAGCTAGTTCAAAGCCAATAACAACTAATCAAACAAATCATGCATCTAAGACTAAATTATCAATCAGTACACATCCAACATTCAATGGATTTAGTGTAAAGACGTCATAAACAGTCAGAGAAAAATGCAATGCCAAGAAACAGGTATCGACAGTTTGTAGATCCATGAAAGTGCATATGTATATAACAATGATATTTAGTTTGCTTTTAATTTACTGATAACAAAATCAATATTAATACCAATAAAAACAATATTCAAAGATCTAATTACAGTTTTGAATTGGTAACCTTTTAGAATAAGTTTATTTAAAGGGTCGATAACTAGATATAAGAAAATGTGGTATGAGTGCCAATGAGACAACTCTCCATCCAAGTCACAATTTGTAAAAGTAAACCATTACAGGTCAAAGTAAGGCCTTCAACACGGAGCCTTGGCTCACACCGAACAGCAAGCTATAAAGGGCCCATAAAATGACTTGTGTAAAACCATTCAAACAGGAAAACCAACGGTCTAATCTATATAGAAAACGAGAAACGAGAAACACTTATGAACCACATATAAGTTTACCAGGATCATTTCTAAATTTCCAAGTAATCACCCAGTTATACCATTGAAAGGGGTAAATTGTTTAACGAATAATTTGAATGGATTGAAGCAATTGAATACTCAATTTACTTTGTCGTTTATGGTTCTTAAACTAAATTTGTTTGAGTATGTATTTATTGATATTCTAGTCAAAAAAACTTTATCTTCATAGTTATTAATTTTTAATTTTGTACTAACTTTCCGTAACTTCGAATTCAAATTTGTATGCTGAAAATAATCATGAAAAATGCATATGATATATTATTTAACATACATACAATATAATTGACCGTATATATCTATAGACAATAATTTACATAATTGCGTGCTTCTAACAGCCAAATAATGCTTTCTACTGAATTTCATTTTTACTATATCAGATATAACATGTATAATTATGTGTGAGTCAGGAGACATCATCAAGATAATGACAGGATATGCAGGGTTAGTCTAGGAATTAGAAGGAGAAATAGAATTTATTTATCAGCAAAAACCTAATATTATTGGGTCAGTTAAAAATAAAACATAGATTTGAGTATTGTTTTATTATCAAATATTGATAAATCATAAGATTACTATAAAGAAAAGAAGGTTATGTTTCCCTCAGGTAAAGCTATTCTTTTGTGTACCACTATATCTGAACCACTGCTAATGGACTATTAGTCCCCGATGGTATCATTGGCTCAGTATTCAGTGCTTCATTAATTATATGGTTTATAACAAACATTTCTAAAATTCCCCGTTGATAAATCATAACATTAAAAACTAAGGTCCCAATTACCTCTGTCAAAGTTGACCATAGATAAATATGGCTATTTTTTTTATGTCTCTTTTGGTCATATAGCTTCTATCGTACATCCCTTACCTATAGATTCAAATTATTAGGTTTCAGCCTTCCTTATGAAGTTTATGCTAAGTACATCGATGGGAAATTGAACTAGTATTGAAAAAGATTGTATTTTGAAAAAGGCAGAACTATTACTTTGCAATAGGCAAACTACGGACCAATAAAGTTATTTTGTAAATGAAAATCACACTTTATAAATTTGGTGCGTCCGAAGCGTTTATCTGGATATATCTTCATCAGAATCGCTTGGCCCTTAATTTCAAAGCCAAGGATATATAAATACTTGATTTCGTGTAACACTCTTCTTACACGACAAATCGTATATGAATGTACATGTCTTCTATTATCTGTTGTCATTAACAGTAAACTGACAGCAGAAATTAGCAAAACTAAAAATAAGGTCCCAATGCATGGGCTAGACTACGGGTTTAAAAGTCCTAATCTTAACCTTAAACCGATTATAATCTGACGTGGCTGTGTATTAATGCATCCTTTTATTTGAGTTTAGCAGCCTCGTTTCAAACTAATCAATACGTTGTTTTCTTTCCATTTCAAACACAATTGTTTAATAAATAAAATTGAGAATGGAAATGGGGAATGTGTCAAAGAGACAACAACCCGACCACAGAACAGACAACAGCAGAAGGCCACCAACAGGTCTTCAATGCAGCGAGAAATTCCCGCACCCGGAGGCGTCCTTCAGCTGACCCCTAAACAAATATATATACTAGTTCAGTGATAATGAACGCCATACTAAACTCCAAATTGTACACAAGAAACTAAAATTAAAAATAATACAAGACTAACAAAGGCTAGAGGCTCCTGACTTGGGACAGGCGCAAAAATGCGGCGGGGTTAAACATGTTTATGAGATCTTAACCCTCCCCCTATACCTCTAGCCAATGTAGAAAAGTAAACGCATAACAATACGCACATTAAAATTCAGTTCAAGAGAAGTCCGAGTCTGATGTCAGAAGATGTAACCAACGAAAATAAACAAAATGACAATAATACATAAATAACAACAGACTACTAGCAGTTAACTGACATGCCAGCTCCAGACTTCAATTAAACTGATTGAAAGATTATGTCTTCATCATATGAATATCAGGC